GGGGGGTTGTAGGGGACACAAATTTGAGTATGTGTGAAAAAGGGGGATTAGGCGATCAGAAGTCATTTGACGAGAAAGGTGGTGATGGAAATGCTACACCATCTATAATCGTGCATTATTCCGCGTTCAAGAAATACGTGTTGCTACTACTTACACCCTTCGCTTTTAAATGAAGGAGTAAAATGGCTGCCTTATATACTTGCCATAACGTCACCGTCATTTCACAAGTGCCCGAATCATTTGTGAGGCAGCGTGGTGGAATCAGGCTTTCGTCAAAATAATCAAAGTGAAGAAACTTGCATTTTTCCACGGGTTTGTGAATTTTTTTCAAATTTTTGTGTTTTGGCTCAACACCTTTCATGCCCATTAAAAAACTCATTTCTGTGAGGATTTTTCTGAAAAGCGTTGATTAAAGGCATAAAAAATGTAAATTTTCAGTCACCACGGACTCCTAAGCTGAGGAAATAACTAATCTTTCGTGGCCATTTTCTCACTAATCTTACCTCTGAAAACAGGACTAGGTGACCCCAACCTCTTTCTTTTGAAAATATCTCGACTTGTATTCAAGATAAAAGGATTTTTTTTTTTGCATCCAAATAAAGACAAGGGAACAAGCTTTAAGATGATACCGATAACTCTACATGCCCAAAAAATGACGAGAGCCTGATTCCACCACGCTGCCTCACATTTATAATAAAGTTAGGCGAAAATTGTTGGTAGGATATCTTCCAAAATCAGGGCCATGACTACGGTGCCTGTGGTTTTTAAAAAACTGAAAACTAAGAAGGAAACAGGAAACAAAACGAAGACTTGGTTGTATGATGTCTCTTCACGACTTTCTTCTACTTCTTTCTAATGACGGTTTCATTATTTTAAAAAGGAGGTAACTATGGGAAACGCCCAGAAACTGACTGGAGCGATCGTGGGATGACGTTGGTGATACGTTATTTCTAAGGTGGAAATTCCGTGTTCACTTTTGATGGACTCTTGTTTTGTCGATGAGACCTTTGGTCGCCAAATGGAGGAAATAGATAAGATAAGACAGGATAATACTTTATTATCCCAGAGGGAAAGTTTTCTTGGCTGTACAGAGGGGTAGCTGGATAGTATAGATTGTGAAGCGCATAGAGCTTGCTGTTGAGCTGGGATTTGCGCTATACAAATGCTATCTTCTATTACTATTATTATTATTATTATTATTA